TGTACAGCTGCTCGAGCGACTTGAATTGAACCTCGCCGATGCGGAGCGCGATGATGATCTGCGCGCTCGCAGGGGGATCTATTCGGGCGCACTCGGATGGCAGGGCGTCGATGGCGCCGCGGACTATTCTGTCGTCATCCGCACGCTGATTGCTAACGGAGACGATGTCTCCATCGGCGCTGGAGGCGCTATCACATATCTCTCGGATGCCAGACAGGAGTGGCAGGAGGTGCTGGACAAGGTTACAGCCCTCGCCACCATCGACCTTTGACCCGAACTCGATCTCCGATCTCCAATTTCAGAACATCGAAAGGACAACAAAGACCTTTTCCCATCCGCTCAATTTCGCAACACCTACGGTCTCACCACGGCCGACTTTTCTCATTCTATAGACCTCGTTTCCCTGGACCGCTACGCATCGATACCATCGCTTATTCAACCTAGACCGCTTCCCTCATTCCCGCACATGTTCTCCGTTTCACTGCTTCCTTGTCACCGTCCCCGTAGTCACGATGTAATTGCACGGCCTCAACGCCACTGTATCGCCAAAGGAAATCACATATCCTCAACAGAGTCACATGCGGGTGCAGGCTGGGTTGTGGGAGGCGAAAGGCATGTGATTCGTATTCGCAGGCGGACACACGCGCGATGCTGGTTGAGCAGCGTAGAGAGGGGACAAACGGATCAGGGGAAGATAGGTTGAGTATCCAGGCAGACGAGGGTGCACGTGTGGGAGAGGTCGAGAGGAAGGCGGGAAAATTTTTGGGGGAGAGGGGGGACCGGGAAGCAAGTGCTGCAGGAGCACTTGGAGAAGCGCATGCAGGACGGACTCGAGTCCTCACATGCGTCTTGTTGGGGTGTCGGCGGATCAGCCGACACCGTCGCAGCCAACGGCGCCGCGCTTCATGCTCTTGGGCTCGCCAAGCATGCCTCTGCCCCTCTCCTGGTCGCCACCCAGACTCTGGATGCGCTTCTCCTTCTCGGCGAGCAGCTCGGCGACCTCGCGCTCGAGCATCCTCCTCTGGGCTCCGGCTCGCTTGCCAGCCGCAGTGACGTTCTCGAGCAGCTCGACGTTGGAGATCCTCTGGCCCTGCTTCTTGGCGGCCTCGTTACCCAGCGCCTGTCGATCGGCTGCGGTGAGCTCCTCAAAGCTCTCCTCGAGAACCTTGAGCACGGTGGCGAGGTTGTTGGGCAGGTACTGCAGGATGGGGCTGCCGCCGGTGGCAATGTCGTACGTCGTGCGCTGAATGATGTACGACTTGGTGAACATCCAGTGGCGGTTGCGGAACTCGCGGATCTGATCCACGAGCAGCACGTACAGAGCCTTGGCACGCGGGCTGCTGCTCATGGCAAAGCCACGAACACCAGCCAGCGTGGCACGCGCCTCGAGGTGTTGCAGGAACTCGCGCTGGTTCTTGGGACGGTAGCTGCGGAAGTCGCGCAGCGTCTTGGTCAGGTCATTGTTGGGCATGTGCGCGGTGATCTCGAGCAGGTTGTCGCCCGTGGGGACGATCGAATCGTTGGCGCCCGACTCGCCACGGTAGAACTGGGGCTCCTCGGACACACCCTCGTACACGACACCCTCGGGGAACATGGCGTTCATCTTTTTGGGGCCAGTGCCAAAGATGAAGCTGCGGTACTTGAGGTAGTCGGCAGGCAGCGATCGTGCCCACATGGTCTCCATCGACTCGTTGATCTGCCTGTACGTCACGAGCAGCCTCTCGAACGCGTCCTCGAACGCAGCTACGTCCTTGGCCGCACACGCGCGCAGCGCATCCTCGGTGGCCGAGACGAGCTTACCCGTGTAGCTGACCATCTCGACGTGCACGAGGATGAAGCCGCGCTCGGAGCCCGAGGCGTCTTCGAAGGAGCGGATGAGCTCCATGTTGTCGAACGAGTACTTTCCGGCGGCGCCCTTGTAGTTGGGATCCTTGCAGAGGTAGTTGACGAGCGCATACGACGATGCGTACTCCATGTAGGGGAAGTGGCCGAGCTTGTCGGCGAGCTTCTTGAGCGGCACGGCGAGCTGGGCGGGCAGCACGTTGCGGCCCTGGGTGTAGAAGCCCGTCTCGCGGTACGCGCGGTCGACCGGCTCGAGCAGGTATGCCGAGGTGGCAAAGCAGTAGTCGCGGAAGAGCGCAGCGAGGAGGTGAGAGTTGCCCGACTCGATGGCGGCCTCGACGGCCTTGGCCTCCTTGCCGTCGGGCTTGAGCTCGTCCAGCACCGCAGCGCCAAAGTCGCCCGTGCCAAGCAGACCGGTGGCGCGGTGGCCGTTGGCGTCGGCGGGCTGGTGGATGGTCATGCGGTCGAGCAGGGACGAGAGGCCGGCGAATGCCTCGGGCATCTTGGCCATGGGGTCCTCACGTGGGAGGAAGCCGCGCTCGCGCGAAATGACGAAAGGAGGAAGTTTCGAGATGGCGTCCTTGTCGCCAGCCTGCACGGCAGGCAGCTCCTCGAGCAGGTACGGCTCGACGTCGGCGGCCGAGCCCGACTTGCCGGGGACAGCAGCAGCGTCAGAGACCTGCGCGAATGTGCGGCGGCCCACGCCACCAAGCTGGGCGAGGTTGGTGCGGGGGCCGGCGGCGGAAGCGGCCTGCCGCAGAGTACGGCTTCGCATAGCGGGGATCATGATGGATGTGTGTAGTTTGGGAATGCCAGAGATCGAAAGTGCACGGATGGTCAACAAATGTGAAGACGGCAGGGGCGGGGATGATGGGATCGTCTACAGGTCTCGGAACCACAAGTGTCGGTATATAAGGAGAGTTCACAGGAGAGCGAGGAGCAGGCACGAGTGGTTCGAGGCAAGCTCTTCAGGGGGCAAACGCAGTATCACGGGCCGACGCCACAGGACACAAGTGCTGTCAGTCTCATCCACTCGCTCGGCATGCATGAGAATGCTACTCGTCACTCTAGGCGGCGAGATTCCCGTCGCCTGAGCTGCTTATCTGCACCCGCGGCACGCTTGTGTGCGAATCTTCTCAGCATTGCACGTCCCGCCGTGGGGCTCAAAACGGCATCTGCTTATGTTTACGGAGCTACTAGCGTGATCATTGGGCCCCGCCTTAAGAGCTCGATGCAAAGTCATCAGTCTGATTGGCCGGCGGAAGGATGCCAAGCGGAGCGAGTCGAGGCTGATGGGAGCAGCAACGTGGCGGAGGGCTGGAAAAGGCCCTGAGAATGGCCCAGGAAAGGCCCAGGAAAGGCCCGAGAGGCCCTGGAAAAGGCCCGGGGTGCGCAGGTCAGGTGGTGCTTTGCCGCCCTATCTCTGCTGCAAGCGACCTGCCAACCAGTGCGAGCCTGTCAAAAAGGCCCGCGTTTTGGCCCGGCAAGATTTGCACCCGTGCGCGAGCGGATCCCACGCGTCTCGAGGCCCGGTCAGTTAGCCGCACCCAACTCGCCCAGCGCGTGTTTTGCCGCGGGTAGCCCCTCGACCTCTTCCGGCAATGATGCGTACCCTTCGGGTCACTCTGTTCCACGCACCGCATCCTCTGCTGCAAGTTACAGACCGGCTGGTGTTATCCGTACAATAAACATGTCTAGTAGGCACAGATGCTATGCAAAGGTCTCGCGATCGTCCGGCCGTGGTGTCGTGGGGCTCGAGTCGCGGCGCCAGCTCGAGTATTCGTCGAGCTTGGCCTGCGCCGCCGCTCGACCGAGCCGCGAGGCTTCATCTTCCGACGCCTCTCCACCGTCGTTGCTACCCGCATGCTCCTCGCTTCTGCTGTGCGTCGCTGACGGCAACGTCGCTATAGGCGCCAGCAGAGGTGGACCTTGGCCAGCCTTTTCCACCCGTGCACTGCTGCTTTCGCCCGACGACGGCACCAAACGCGCCCCTGCATTGGCCTTGCTCGGCCTGCGTACGAGCAGCAAGGGACTCTCACTCCGGCCGAGCTGTCCAAGAGGCGGGGTGTCGATCCTGCCTGGCACTTGAGCGGGCTGTGGCGTGGCACTGCGGAATAGCGACATGGCAGCGGCGTCCTGCATCTTAAGCTTGTCCGCCGAAGCGCCCGCACTGCCGGCGGCAAGATGGTTCGGACTGGGCGTACGACGCATCGGCCCCAAGTTCGGTGAAGGCTGGCGATATAGCTCGGCGTCCGAAGTGTGATGCGGGGATAGACCCCTGCTCGGGTGCGATTGCATCATGATCTCGTCCGGCGAGCGCAGCAGCTTGGACGGTGCCATGGCTGGAGGCGACTGCGCCACCTGCCGTGACTGAGGCAGCATCGATGCTTGCTGCATCCCGCTGCTCCACGACGGCTTGGACGTGATCGAGTGCAGTGAGGCTTGCGGAGAGTAATTGAGCACTTCGCTGTACAGATCCACCGAAGGTCGGCTCGGCGTCGAAAAAGTCGCTGGACTCGCTGCCCTGTAAACGGGCGGCGACGACAGCACGCCCCGACCGCCAGGCTGCAAGTCTTGGCCGGGCTGAGCAAACGTCTTTTCGGGATCCCAGTCGTCGTATAGATCGGCCGTTTGATCGCCCGAGTCTTCGGCAAACAGCGTTCTGATGGGCGTGGTACTGGCGCTCTTGGCACCTCCGCCGTTGGAACCGTTCCGACTCAGGAACGAGGGGAACGGACGTGCGCGTGCTTGCCTCTCTATCGCTCCCGTTTCTTCTGCCTGCACAGATGCGCTGCTGGTCACGCCCGATCGGAGCGAAGACGGCGCGGTGTTGGCGGCCACGATTCTGCGCGTCTTTTTACGGCTCTCATGTCGCGCTCGACCTAACGATTCGAGGGCCGTCTTGACGACGTGCGAGAAGGCGTAGTCCGAAGCCGTTGAGCCTTCGGCGTTCTGGACCGCCAGCGAGCATCCGCGTTCGATCAGCAGCTGCACCAGCGACAGGTGGCCCCAAGCCGATGCAAAATGGAGCGCTGTATTGCCAGCACGGTCTTGCAGGTCGACATCGGCCCCGAGATCGAGCAGCTGGCGAGCCACATCGTCGTACCCGCGGATGCACGCCAGGTGCAGCGCCGTGCGTCGCTCGTGCGGAGTCTCGGCGTCGATGAGATCGGCGAGGGTGGAGGCCAGATGGCTGGTGTTGTACGTCGAGTAGGCGTAGATGATGTCTGGTCGGTCGTACAACGTGGAGAGATGGAGCACAGTGTTGCCGTCCGCATCGACGCTTGGCGCCTTTTGCTCATGACCCATCTCGATGAGCCAGCGGGTGAGCTCGACGTCGGCGTTGTTCTTGATTGCGACGACGATGCTGGGCTCGGACTCGCTGTTCGCATCGGCGCGAGGTTCTTCGTGAATGGCGAGAGTGTACTTGCGGTGGTGGTGGTGCCTGGCGATTCCATTGCGCTCAGCCGAGGGTTCGACGTTGCGCACATCAAACGGATGCGAGGAGGATGGACGCTGCGCCTCTGCTGCGCGCAGTGCCGCTCGCGATGGTTGCGGACTGGAGCGATTCGCCAGCTCCGAGGAAGTGTCATCAAATGGGCGTGGGAGGAGCTGTAGCTCAAAGGCTCGAGCAGCGACTCGCTGAGCAGCGGCAAGGTCGCTTTGTTGGATCGCACGCCGGAAGCGTTGACTGAGCGTAGTCCTTGAGATCGCCGAGGGTCCAGGGGTGGGTATAGAGGCGGCATGCGGACCAGGCAAGTGTGTTTTGAGGCGAGAACTGGTGCTCAGGTTGGCATGTAGGTCGTCCCTGGCCGCCCATGTGGAGAGCGATCCTTGGATCAACGGGGGCATCATCTCGGCGGACGTTGTGCGACCTCTCGCACTGTGTATTGATCCCTATGGTCTCTGTGGACGAGCCGAAATCTAAGCAGTTGGGTCGGAAGGGCTGACGGGGTGTCGCTGCGCTCGCAGCAGTCCCACAAGCGGCTGCGTCGTCGCCAACGACTCGACAAGATGCCGAGGAGCGTGCAATGTGGAAAGGGGAGTTCCGGACGGAGCCTAGTTGTGTGGTCGGACGGGCACGCAGCGGCTCGCGACGCAGGGGCTGTTCTCAGGGTCCAAGCCAAGCTGAGATCGGATCGATGCATCACCGATTTGAGGATGCAGATTCGGTCAGCGATTCTCATCGGGACTTTTCGGCAGCCGATTAGGCCTGACGACGTGATCGGCCAAAAAGCCCCCCAAGGACAGGCGCATGTGGAGAAAGTTGACTTCTTCACTCGGTTTGGGTGGCGTGTGCGCACGGGATAGCAAACCGGCCTGGAGCAGCACTCGGACCTGGTCATTGCTCACCTGCTTTCAAAGCGAGCCCGGCGTACGACTGTCATCTGAAGGCGGATCTCCGTCACACAAGCTCAGGGGCAACTTTGACGGCTCAGCACAGCCTCCTCCGAGCTGTCCAACTACATTTCAGACGGGGGACACTTGAGCTCTCCAGAATGCGGGACGTCCGTGGTCTGTGCTGCGCTTTCAACATGTTGCACAGCGAGTCGGGTTTCTCCTGTTCTTCTGCAATCATTCCAGCCGTGTGCGAACAAGCATCCTACATGATGCCTTGAGAGTAGAGGCAGCAGGGAAAGGGTGAGAGGCGCGGGCAACGTGTTCGACGCAGCATGATCATTCGAGCGCACGGGCACGAGCACAGGTGCCTTCGTTCAAATTGACATGCACATCCTCTGAGGTCCTGCGCCGACTGCCCTGGCCGCGCTGGAAGCGCCAGGATGCGCCCTCGGGCTTGAGAGCAGGGCGCCGCTCCCGGTGGATGAGCGTCATGCGCTCATCTGCCAGTCCGCTTCCAGCGCTAGGAAGAAAATCAGGGGGTCAGAAGAAAAATCGGGGGGTGGCGGGCACGCAGGGGGCGTTGGCAGTCTGGCTGGAAGGGTGACTGCGCTGTGCAGTTCTGTTTGCAAATCCCTGCATTTTCGCCGTGTAATTTCTGTGGGTGACCGTCAAACCTGTGGCCGTTGGCAGAGCAGTCTAGTGGTCGCGCTGAGCAGCCGCCACTCATTGGGTGTGCTTTGGCCAAGTGGCACTTCTTCTTCCGCATTCCGTCCGTTGCCACAACAGCCAAATCTTCGCTCTGTGGAGTTTCGCCCGCACGAATCCACTCGCCGCATGGACCAGCTCGATTCGCCGTATATAAACACTTTCGCCGGGCCATTCTTCTGTCCTTATCCTTAGAAACAATCCCCACACAACATTTAGCGTAAGTTTCCCTGTCAAAACACCGCCGTCATCGGCCACGGCATATCACGATGCTCGTGCCGGACCTGATTGTCGGCGATATTCAGGTCTCGTTCGACCCCTTTCGCCGCGAAGATCCCACGCAACGGCAGCGAAAGTTGTTCAGTGCATGGCGATCTCAGGTTTACTCCAAGTCTTGTCCTAATTGTCATTCCTGCTCACTCACACACAGTTCTTTCGATTGCTCTTTGTCTTCTCCATTCGCACGATGCACGCCACCTACGCTCGTCAATTTACGTCGTCTGCCAGAATCATGTCCAACGTCTTCTTCGACCTTACCAAGAACTCGCAGCCTCTCGGCCGCGTCGTCTTCAAGCTGTACGACGACGTCGTGCCCAAGACGGCCAAGAACTTCCGCGAGCTCTGCACTGGCGCTCCCGGCTTCGGCTACAAGGGCTCGTCCTTCCACCGCGTCATCCCTCAGTTCATGCTGCAGGGTGGTGACTTCACCGCCGGCAACGGCACCGGTGGCAAGTCGATCTACGGCGCCAAGTTCGCCGACGAGAACTTCAAGCTCACCCACTCCAAGCCCGGTCTTCTCTCGATGGCCAACGCCGGCCCCAACACCAACGGCTCGCAGTTCTTCATCACCACCGTCGTCACCTCGTGGCTCGACGGCAAGCACGTCGTCTTCGGCGAGGTCGTCGAGGGTATGGACATTGTCAAGGCCGTCGAGGCCGAGGGCTCCGGCTCCGGCAAGACCAAGAGCACCATCACCATCGCCAACTGCGGCGAGTGCTAAATGGCTTCGCTCCCTCTAGTCGAATTGAATCCATAATGATGCGCGCACTTTCCCGCCTTGCGGTGTAGAGGGTTGCGTCGTTCACCTTGGCATTTCCTCTGTCTGTGTTTGTCTGTCGTCTGATGTTTCAGCGAGAAGGCTCCGACAGCATCTTAAGAAGCTGGGAACGGTCAAAAGTGGGTTGCGAATTCCTATGAAGAAGCCCGTGAGAGTAGACAGAGAGCGGCGCCGTTCGAAACAGAGTGCCTATGGTCAAGACGATTCTGTGGACCAGACGTTGGATGGCGCTTCCAGGCCAGCGGCTGCTGCTGCCGTAGCGGCGTCTACGGGCGGCGGCACGGCCGCATCGTGTGGGTCCACGCCGATCCACGACGAGCTCAAGTTGGCACTGCCAGCATCATCGCCCTTGCGCGCGCGCACTCGGTCGCCGTTACTCGACGAGTCTGGCGAGTCGCTCGATCCCAGGCTCACCACACTGGCGCTGTTGGAGTCAGTGTGCTGCATGGCCGTCACCGAGTCGTCGGCATCTTCACCAAGCACTCCAGATTTGGTCGAAGAGCCGGTGCGGTTGGAGACTGGAGTAAAGTTGAGTCCGCCCGAAAGCCCTCTGCGCCTCGAATTGCCACCAGACCCCTTGAGGTGGGAGAAGCGCTGCACAGGGCTGTTGCTTCCGCTCTCGGTGCCGCTCTCCACATCCGTGTCCGCGAGACCCAGCGCTCCGTCCACACCGACGCGAGGCGCCCTGCCAAAGTAGTCGCGCGGTTCGTCGTCGCCGAGCGAGCCCCCTTCGCTGTCGGGCGAAGTGGGCGACGCCAGCGACGGCTCCTGGTCCTTGGAGAGCGTGCTTAGTCGAGCTTGCTGACCTCCACTGGCGACCCAAGCCGCTTCCTCTTCGGCTGATGCGATGCTCAGGCTGCGTGCGCGCTGGCGCAACAGCGTCTCGGCATCGTACGTGCCGGGCGACAGCAGCGGCGCTTTGACAATGCTCGGAATGTTGCTGCGGTCCGTCGGCCGGTGGCGATCGTTCTGATACACGCGCGGCTTGCGCCGAGAGCTCGAACGGCCCACGGGCACCGCAACGCCTGCCTTCGACTGTCGTTGGATGCGTACTCTTCGTCGATGTAATCCTGAACACCGGTCAGTCCAAGCCGCCGTACGTGGGAATGCAGAATGTCAGCTCATGACAAAGCGAGGATGGCATGGACGTCGAGAGCGACTTACCAAGAGTTCGAAAGACAGCGTAGCCCGCAAAGTCGATCACGCCGATGAGGATGATGGGCAGCAGAATAAGAAGCGAAATGAGACGGCATGCCTGCGAGAAGATGGTGACCCAGTACGGCATGGGCGGATCGATGAGCATCCTCCATGCCGAGACAGGTTGCGGCTCGGGACTGCGAAAGAGCGCGGACTCGAGCACCTTCTTCGCCGTCTCGAGCGGCCCGCTGTCCGTCCATGAGCGCAAAAAGTCCATAGGACCGGTCATGGCGGCGGCAGATGCAGCGGTGGACGTTGCTTATGAGGCGCTCTCAATCTTGTGGCTTGCTTTCGAACTTCCTGCTAACGGGTGATGTCGAGCGCGGTGTCTCTGACGGATACGAGGATGAGGCTCTGGAGTCCTAGCGTGGACGGTGTCCAAGGCCTGATAAAGCTGCTCCTGATCGTAGCAGGTTCAGAACGAGGCCAGTCTTGGGCGAGATCGGAAGTTGGACCGAAAAGAAGGTCGAAGGCTCTCGAGACGCAGGGTACGGATGTGAGCCCGTCTCGACAAAACAGCAACGAGCTGTTCTATCCTTGATGAGGTTGAAGAAATGCCGACACCAAGGTTGCAGAGCCGAAAAGCTGGTTGCTGTTCCGTGATCTGTGAGTGTGATGCTTCGGCAGATCCGGCTGGTAGAGTGGCGCTTTCAGGCGGCCGAGCGTGAATCACAATTTCAACTTGGCGCCTCGACCTGCGGCGCCTCGACCTGCATGGACGGGGTGTCGAGGCGCCTAAAGTCTGCAGCCGGCGCTTCAACGTCCCGCGAAGCTCGGGCTCGTGCGCGCCGCCTGGCAGTGAAGCCCACTCGTACGGCTCAACCCTAATCGCGGCCATCACCGATTTGAGGAGGGTTCGCACTCTACGGCACTTCGATTTTTGCCAAATTTCGAGCTGCTGCTGCTGCTGGTGGGAGGGGCCACAATTTTTCAGAGGGTCCACTTCAGTGCCTCTTGGGTCGGCGGCAGAGGAAGAAGAAAAAAATCGTGGGACGCGGTCTTCTGGCGAGTGGAATTTTTTGAGAATTGTCCAGGCTGTCAGCCACTCCGGGTCGCAGCATGCACGACGACTTCACAATTTATTCTCGTGGAGCGCGGTTACAGAGATCCGTGCCTTGGTCCTCGTGTCTGTCGCAGCGTCTTGCTTTGCCAACACCATCTTTGCAGAAAAGGGACGAGTCCGCACCCCATTTCATCGCAGCCCATCGTAGCAAGAATGTCCGCTGAACAGGCCGTCAAGCCCGAGGGCGAGATCAAGCAGGAGGTGGCTGCCACCGCCTCCTCTTCCTCCACCGCCGATGCCCCGGCCACCACCATGACTGTCGACGAGGCCAAGGCCGAGGCGCTCCGCCAGGTCGAGTTCTACTTCCACGACTCCAACCTTCCCTACGACAAGTTCCTCTTCACCCTCACCCGCAAGGACCCCGAGGGCTGGGTGCCCATCGCCACCATCGCTTCGTTCAAGCGCATGCGCGCCATCCAGGAGATCCTCGGCAACGATGGCATCGCAGAGGTGCTCAGGAACTCCGAGGAGCTGCTCGACGTCAGCGAGGAC